CCAGAAGATGGTGGCTGTTTGCCAATCGGCTCAACTGGAGGTGCTGGTTGCAGATCAGATATTAGTGCAAGACACGATAGGGCAAAAGTCCAGGTTTGCAAGAAACAATACTTAGGAGAGCATGCACTGGCAAGTGTTGCAATTTCCATTAGAGCTTTGTGGTGGGGCTTCAATGGTCCACCAACCAGGACTTCCTGAGTCCAGTGGTAGAGACGGTATCACCACCTACGGACGGTGGCTGGTGAACTTAACTGGCCATTTTAGGGTTTTTGTGATTTTTTCTTTAGATGGTCTAGAACTCTGATGTAGGGTTTGAGATTTTAGTGTAAGATTTTTTAACTTTTGATACCAAATTGATGTAGGACAAACAGGTAAATTTGTCCAATTAGGGATTTGGGGATAAAAAATCTACACATCACACTTAAAGTTTCTTAGGCATTATACCTAAAAAAATTTAGCATCAAACTTAAAGATTTGATTGCATCAAACAACCAGAAAACTGAAAAACTCTCAGAATATATCATTGAATATTTGAATCTTCTTAATAAGTGAAATTACAAAACTATTTATAGTGATCTCTAAATAACTTTTCCTAAATAAAATTTAATTAATAAATAATAAATTAGTAGAATTAGAAATACTAACCCTTATAAGAGTAAGAAACTAATACTAGTAATATTAGAGATATTAATCCTAAAATTACTAGAAATAACTCTAATAAGAATAAGAAACTAGTACTAGTAATGCCAGAAATATTAATCCTAATACAAGTAGGAAATATTAAAACAAATTAGAAGAAATACTTATAAGAATAAAAATCTTTAAGTTACTAAAACTATAATAATAATTTTAAATAGAATATAATAGTAAACTCACAAATAGAGTATTAGTTTTACATTTAATATAATTACAATTCTAATTTATTTAAGAAATCTAGTGTTAATACATTCTGCATCAGAAGAGAGGCAAGAGTTTAGTTAACAATTGTTACTTAGAATCCCCTAATCACCTTCACTTCTATTCTCAATTTTTCTATTGTGTATGGTACACTGCTATTGGTTTCTTGGAGCTGAGTTGGGTTGAGGCGTGCTCAATGCTCCATAAGTTTTGGGCTTGGCAAGGCATTGACCATGATAAGAGAAGAAAGATGATTCTCTAATCCCTATGGCTACCTTGTGGATTGTTTCAAAGGAATAACAAAGCACATAATGGTCTCACATCTTCTTTTGGTATGGTTAGATATTCAATGTTTCAACATCTAAGTATCTCATTGGGGGATAATTGAAGTTTTTGGAAAAAATAGAATACTTCTAGTTTGTTTACATTTAAAATATATATATATAAACTGATTATTTTTATTCTATTTGAACTCTAATTATAAGATATAATTATACTATTAAAACTCTAAATAATATAATATTCTATTTAACATGAAATCCTTTTTAACACTCATTCTCAAGTTGGCGTGAAAATATTACACATGCCTAACTTGCAAATCAGGTTCTGAAAGAAATTTGTTGCATAGTTTTTTAGTGAAAATATCAATCACCTGGTCGCCAGAAGATACATGATATAAACATAGAGAGCCACAAACCACCTTCTCTTTTATGAAGTGTCAATCAATCTCAATGTGTTTTGTCCTATCATGTTGAACTGTATTATGTGCAATGTCAATTGCTGCTTTATTATCACAAAATAGGGATAGTTTCTCATCTTTAAGCAGTTTTAACTCCCTCATTAGTTTTTGCAACCACAGTACTTCACATATTCCTTGGGCCATTGTTCTGTATTCTGCCTCAGCACTGGAGCGAGCAATCACACTTTGTTTCTTACTTTTCCATGTGATTAAGTTGTTTTCTATAAATGTGCAGTAACCTGTAGTTGATTTTCTATCATCTAGAGACCCAGCCCAATCGGCATCTATAAATACTTCTATTTTAAGGTGACCACGCTTAGAAAAGAGCAGACATTTTCTTGGTGCAAACTTCAGGTATCGTAATTTGCAAAAGGCAACATGTAAATAAGTCTCACGAGAATCATGCATGTACTGACTCACAAGACTAACTGCATATACTATATCATGTATGGTATGTGAGAGATAAATGAGTCTTCCAACTAGTTTCTGGTATCTTCCCAAGTCAATTGATGTACCACTACTTGTTTACAATTTGTGGATGCTTTCAATAGGTGATTCTATCGGCTTGCAACTCATCATACCAGTTTTTTCTAATAAGTTTATGATATATTTCATTTGAGAAATGAAGATCATTTTATTGGATCTAACAACTTCAATCCCCAAAAAATATTGTAATTTTCTTAAATTTTTTATTTCAAACTATTGAATAAGAAGTTTCTTCAACCGAGTCATCTCCTTTATAACATCTCCAGTCACC